GGTCCCTAAATCCCTTTTAATAACCTCTTCGACAGCCAGTGCTGAAGAGCTTTTGATAAAGTGAGGGGCTGGAAAATAAGCTGACTGGAGCTCCGCTTTTAGCCTTGGCTAAATCTTTTTTATCATTATCATGTAATTACATGATTTTCCTCGTAAAATTTGGGATAAATTAGCACTTGTAAATCTTTCAAAGACTAAAAATTGCACTCGCCCTATGGGGTCGTGCAATTTGGCCAGCCTTTGCAAAATTTTCTCGTGCTAATTTTTTCCAAGTTGCACTCGAACTCATCCGAATACCTATAAAAATTGAAAGTTTTCCTCGGATATGTGACGGATGATAATCTTAGTCCCAGTATAAAAGGAGAAACCAGATGAGTGCACAATTGCTTAGAGTTAAAGAAATATTTAAATAGTCAGATATTCAAACAAAGTGCATCGGACGGGGATCAACCGGCAAGTACGTGTACTTGACGCTGACCATAACAGATGTTCGGAATTCGCCATACTTCATGCACCTGACCACACTTTATATATAAATGAATTTAATTCTTGTTTATTCCGCAGGGCGCAGCAATAAATTTTCAGTTTAAGCGCTGGCAACAGTCTTTAACCCTTACTGTGACCATCATTAAAAGTGCCGATATACCCGCAAAATTCAGTATTACTTCCGGTCAAATATCATGCGACAACCACAGCTTAGGCTGATGTTATATTCCACTTCTCGTCAGTAGAGTCGACCCCTCAACCTGTTTGTAGTAAACGTAACTCTGTAAAGGTTAGGGAAATTATTTTTTTGGTCTATTAGAGGTAGCTTTGTAATGTGAACGATAAAAGGGCCAAGCGCGAGCAAGCAAAAAAAGAAAAAAGATATGCCCTCTTAAATTTTCTTCCAGAGTATTGAGGGAGCACTGTTGGTAAAACAAATAGCCAAGGTGAGAAAGGAGTCGGCGCATTGATTTTGAGTTCTTCTCGACTTTCAAAGACATGTACCCTGCACATTTTCCAAAGGGTGGTTAAAGGAAAGGCTCTCGAGGCACAATTCCTTTCATTCAAGATGGTCCATTCTTCCTCTTTTCATTCGTAGCCTGGGCACGACTCTGCTACGCACTTATATCCTAATATTTCAGCTCGAATTTAATCGATTCAAGAGGGCTTCTAAGATCATCTGGTATGGGTGCAATTTGGGGAAAATCCTGCAAAAAGTGTGGAGAAACGGCAACCAAAGGAGACTACTGCCAAAGGTTTGTGCATTCGATTTCATGGGGATTTTGTTGGTTATGAGTTTTGGTGTATCCTTCTTCGAACGGCATTTTAGGGAATTTACTAGAACTGTATAAGTTCGTTATATCGATAAAGTTTACTATCAGCGACGTATTTAAACGGTAATTCGTTTCGTTTTGCGAATGACCCAAGAAAATAAAGCAACCTTGTCTCCTTTTTACCTGAATGATCATTATTTATCCCTTGGCGACCATGAAGTTCTTAGGAAATAGATTTTCATCGAGAATCGTTTCTCTATATAAAGACCGTGAGATGTTAAGAAACCGTAAAACTAGATGAATAATATTTTACAAAGACTTGACTTTTTTATTCTGGTCGTATGTGAAATGATCTTGCTGTAGTTATTATACCTATCTTTCCCGGAAATCTATTTTAAAATTGCTTTCGTTTTGAAAGCATCGAGTCTAATTTGAGGTTCGGTGGTAAGAGTCTGCTCATTTTAGTTTTTTCTTCGCCGGAAAAAATTAAGCTTTGGTTATTCTAAGCTTATAAGGAAATTTTGTGCACAAAAGGCTTGATCGTTTTAGTTTAGTTGTGTGTGGCTCGATCTTGCTGTGCGGCTCGATCTTGTTTCTCAGGAATCTATATTGAAATTTTTAACCGAAGTCCTAAAAATTCTTCTGGATTACCCAGTCAAGGATGAAATTCGTCATGCTGCAACTTGTTTAAAGCTAACAAATTAGTCACGCGAGGTAAGCCAAATTGAAAAATACGGAATTATCCAAGACTTAATTTTTTACAGTGGCCAATTTACCATTTCAACTTTGTTGATATATCCAAATTATTTCGTTACCCCCACCTACGCAGCCCCAAACAGTTTCTTTAGAAACAATCGGCCTTTATTAATTTTTTACAAATTTTCAGTTTGAAAGGGTTTTTCTTCTTGTGATCATGATAAAGCAAGGTTGTTTTGTGTGACACGATAATTAAATGGCGGCCGAGAATGCTTTCACATAGGTTAAAAAAGCGACTCATCCGCTTAGATTTCGCAATCTGAACAGTCCTTGTATGAGAATAAGTAGTCAAATAGATGTTTTTGAGCCCTCTGATATCAAGCCTCATTGATTTGAATAAAACATTTCTTCGAATATCTCCCTCCCGATACATCACACGGACTGGAGTCTTTGAGACATTCTTCATCTTCTTTTATCCCTTTGACTCTTGACTTTACTTGTTGAATGGTTTCGAAGATGGTGCGGCAGCGAAAACCGGCAATATGAAAAAAACGAATATTATGATTCTTAGACCTAAACAAAAAAATTGCTTGCGACGAACCCTCTGAAAATTGATAACACTTCCTATATTTGATAGAATAGCACCTGGAGTGGAAAATGCATATCAACGGTATTTTTTTACAAAAAATTCTAAAGCAATAGGAATCATTTATATAAAGTAAGGTTTCACGTACCTAGAAAATCTCTTCTCTTATTGTATTATTCCCTAGTCTTTCCATATCTTACCTATTGCAATGTAGCATGGAGTTCTACATATTCCACAAACCTTAAAAGAATCAACCTGTTACAGAAAGGGGTCGTTCAAACAATTTTAGCGGGTGATTATAAAGCTCCTTGTAAACTTCTTTTTCAAAAACGTGGAATTTTTGACATTTACAGTTTGTTTTATTTTCACATCAGAACCTTAATGTACATGTATGACCATAAAATAAAGGCTGATAGTTTCGAAAGAAACTGTTTGGGGCTGCGCGGTGGGAGTAACGAAATAATTTGGATATATCAACAAAGTTTAAATGGTAAATTGGCCACCGTAACGATTACAAAAGCTGACGTTTCGTTTTATGACCATAAAATGTTGCCTTGCTTTTTTCCAAACTTGTTTCAAACTGGAAGTCAAGGAACAAAATTGTGGAACTCTCTGCCTCGTTCGATAACTGAATCTGACAATATAAGATCTTTAAAACAGTCACTCAAATCCCATTTGATTAATTTGCAAAATACTCAGTGAATTTTGCAGCAAGGTTGTTAATATTAAATAATCAAGTTCTCTTAGTACTTTACACTTGTTAAATTACGTTCCACATTTTAGTTAAACTTAAACTGTAATTTAAAGAGGGAGCCTCACCTATAAGCTTTCATGGATTCTTGAGACTTCCTCGCCTTTTCCTTTTTCTATCTTATATTTTCCAAGTATTGTCTGTGTAAATTGGCTTTGTTCCCCTTTTTTTATGCAGAAAAGACAGCCTAAAAATTTTTCCTATCTTTTAAGTTTGCGCCGAGAAAATTGTTTTTTCTTTTTGTTAGCACGTAATACATAGATCGGTCTCCTCCATTCCCACGCAGATCCCAAGGATAGCTAACAATATTAGGGACTTTAAGCAAACCGCGACGGCTACGGCAACGAGAACGTGGAAAAACAATAAATCTAATTGGCAGAACAATAGCCCAGCACGTGCGTTTTAAAACTTTGTAAATTTCTTAGCCGTCCTTTGCAAAACAACAACGAGAAGTCACCAGAATTTGCGTCGTCCGCGAAGCGAAACCGCAACGGCAAATTATTTTAATTTACATTTGAAACTCAACGCTACTTTTATGCGTTATGTTGAGTTTGAGGTCTGGCGCCCTATGAGACGGTAAACACATGCAGCTATTTTCGAAATACTAACTAAAAGTAGAAACTCATTTTTTAATCGACGTCGTCCGTGGCGTTGCCGTCCTGACTGCTTAAAGTCCCTAATTATTCGCCTAAGTGGAGAGGAGTAGTGGTGGATAGTTAGTACCGGGCCGCGACTTTCACCGACCCAACTTTTTTGCCGTAGTGGAGTGAGGCGTACCTCTAAGACCTCTAACAACGATTTACGTTTTGTTTCAAACAAGACATTACTTCCCAGTTCCCACTGTTACACATGCAAACCACATAACAATACTATATTCGAGAACGCCTTTATATATCGCGGCAGTTCGTTTACATTTCAATGAATGTTAGTGTCTTTCCTGAGCTTTTGTCAACCATCCCGATGACCAAAACTACGAAGTCGACTCCATTTACTTTCCTTTTGCAATTAATTTCACACTATCTGGTCCAAAAGCTACCTCATTGTAAGTGCAGCTGCTTCTATTTGATATTCATTATGGTGGGTAGAGGAAACTGTCGCTTGGTCTGTAATGTGCGGCCTGTAAAGCACTAACTTGATGATGGTAAAAGTCGTTTTACTACAGAACAAGAGTACTCTGGATCGCTTTCTTTTATTTTGAACGCTGTTTCAAGGAGTGAGGTAAATTAAAGGATCAAATTTTGCTGAAGCTTTAATTTGCCGTTCAGATCGTATAACGTAGTGTCTAATAATGGGACGATCCTTCAACTCTTCGTCTTCATTTTCCATGAATTCACAAGTCATCTTGATACTTAATAAAGTGAAATCTTTTTTCTAGATAAGGAATCCTTTATTGACCAAGCTTGTTTGGTCAATAACACATATTTCAACTGGGTGAACGTGTCATGACATTCTAGGGAACGGCTGCAATGGAGACTAGGGCACCAAGAGATGTACGTGTTTTGACAATCACTTCTTACTTTTGGTCATTATGTTTTAAATCTCTTTGGTATAAACGCTTTTTTTCCAGGTGTTACGACCAAGAGTTTCCGCTCTGTGATCACTGCAAAAAGCCCATGAGTACTTGCGAGGATAAGGTCGGCAACTGCCACAAGAAGCCGTAAGTAAATCTTCCTTCGCTATGATGTCTCTTCTCACCTCGCAGGAGCATGGGAACAAGATTGATTTTGTTTAAGGCAAAGAGTCTGAACATGAGACAAGAGGCCCATCCTGGGAATACTGTTTCGTTTAGTAAATAGGCGTTGCCTTTGATGACAGATATAATTTAATTAACACAACTCGTGATTGACATTAATTCCTCACAATGATTTGAAGTGTTAGCTTGTCGCGATTTAAACCAGTTTTTCAGAAGAATCAGTAAGAGAAAGAAGTCGATTTTTGTATCTGTTCGCTTACCCGAATCTGCTAACCTGAAGTGAGAAACCTGTTTTTACGACCCTCCACAGAAGTAAGTTTCCAGTCATGTTTTCTTAAATTTTGCCATGAGATTAAGACTAAATTTACGTTTTCTGATTTCGAATTACAAATGTATTTCTCTTAGATCGAATAATCATTAAAGTTTGGATAATATTATATACGGTTTGTGGTGATCGTCTGAGCTGACCAGTTCCGAGTAAGGAAACAAATACTCTTCTCAACTTTCCCTGTGCAACATAGTCACTTTTTCAATATTTATTTCATGTGTAGATGCTACAGTGACAAGAGCAACAAATGTTGCGAATGTAATGACACAGCTACCAAAGGTTCTTATTGCCAAAGGTATGTAGCCGAAACTCACCAACAAACCATGAACACCGAAATTATCTAGGAATGTCAAGAGTCTCCTATAAAAGGGGCGTAAAGGCTTTAGGTGGTGTGTTGAAACAGGTCATCAATTAATGACTCAAGTTATAACTCAGTATCGTCAACAATTAACGGCTGAACTACTATAACGTAAGATAAATGTTTAGCTGAGTTACGGAGGTTTTTGGGGATTAGGTGGTTTATGCCTTCAGTCGCGTAGAACTTGCGTCTTCAAACGGGTAGAGCTTGCCGCACCTTCTCAAGTAAGATTTGGACATTTGTGTTCTCAGTCCTGCCCACTTCCCAGCGCTCTTTGTTTTTCTCTAATCAGTTGTTGATAGGAACTGTTGCTGAATACTTCGATCTCAATTAGTTGAAGTTCGGTCAGTTGACAGTTATCTATTTTTACCTCTTCTGCTTAAGTGGTTTTAAATATACTTGCAGTTGTTATGAGAGAAAGTACCCACCAACCCCCCTCCTTGAAGCACAGGAGACTGCCGGGGGATTGAGCCTCAAATTGAATGTAGGGGCGGCCAGCAACCAGGAATTCATGAAGGCGGCTTTTCAATCCTTTGAAAGGGCATTGGCTGGGGGAGCGCAGCAAACCAAAGCCATTACTTGCGGAGAAAAGCATTCTATCTCCGACGAACTTGAGGATGAATACTACGATAAATTCACTGATTCATTTCAGATCTGATATGGTTGATCTAGTTATGAGGCTTTTTGTTTAGTTCTTTAATATCTTTGATATCTAATATAAAGTCATTAAGAAATGGCTCGAGAGCATGCTAACAAGTAAAGGGCAGAAAACTCACATTAGTGTACTAGTGTAAATGAGGTTTATTTTTTCAGTTGTACTAATGCTATAGTAAAACCAAATAAAGATCCTTTGTGAGCCGTGGACTTCATTTGGCAAGTTACTGTCTCATCAGTCATTACTTTTAAGAGTGTTCAAACAGTTTCTCTTTCGCAGCTTTGAACCGGTCGTGCAAATAAAAGATAAGATAGATTATGAAAAGAAAATGAAAAATTCGGCGCTATACGCATAGCTCCCTATGGTGTTTCAGTCCTTTTTTTTTCCCTTGTCGGACAAACAAAGTGATATTGACACAGAATTGGGTAGGAGACCGTTTAGAAAAGATTGAAATCTTCTGTTAATCTTTTTCTGTTAATCTTCTTCTGTCAATCCTTAATGCTCATTTCTCCTTCACGTATTTAACGTTGCAAACGATCAATGGAAGTCTTGGCGACATGAAAAAATAAATCACTGTCAGAGGAAATGGGGGAAGTAAAATGGGTAAACAATGACTCCTATCGACTATTCTTAATTTTAGCGAAGAGCTGATGAAGTGCTTGTTTTCTATGTTCACACCTAACTGTAACATAATTCTTGTGGCTGTCCTCTATTTATTTTATGGCTAGTGCCTCTTATGGAGGCGAAGCCATAATGTTGGCCTGTTGAGTGAGAGAGTGTAACAATAGAATACGAACGACCTCTTAGCCCACAACGGAAGTCTGCCGAGTTTTACCCGATTTTCCTCGCTCTTGGCCTTTGTTTGTTTCGGAACATCTTCGGTTATTCAACGCTTGGTGACGATCAGTTTTCGGATCGCTTCGAATGTTACTCTGAATTAGCAAGTGACCACGCTGTTTCCCGATGCTATTAATTTACTTAAAGGAAAAAATTTTATCTTCGTAGAGAGTGCATTTTACCGTTTGAATCAGCGAATTATGCCTGGTAGATCCGAAGATGTAACTTGAGTGCTTATCATGACGCCACAAAAGATGATAAACATCTCAAAATAATTTCACCGCAGTGGTCTCTCTGATTATTGAAAAAGACTTTTCCTTCCAGAAATATATAAATAAGTTTGATCTGCACATCGTGGAAACTTTGAAGAAAAATGTTATTTATTTGAAACTGAAAGAGAGTATTTTACCATTTCAATCAGCGACAAATGCTTAAAAGAGCCGCTAAATTTGCGAAGCGAGCGATACCTTGAGTTTAATAGGGTAACCCCTAACTCGATGAAATGATGGAACGGAAGAATGACGAAATGGCGGAATATCCTACAACGAGGAATGCTTTGTTGTGTGAAACGAAAGTCTTACAAAAAATGGAAGTGCAGTGAAATAAGAAAATAATTCATAATTAACAGGAAAAATTGAAATCAAAAGAAGCCTGGTTCAATCATTATTGGAGCCTAGAGGATAGACCAATAGAGGAATAGTAAGGTTCTTGAGCTTGCCGGTCCCTTAAAGTTATTATTACTATAACTGTTGTTATCATTATTATTATTATTATTATTATTATTATTGTTATTATAGAACGCAATAAATTTGGTCTTAGTATTTGTCCTCCCTCTATGAAATTTACTCAGTGCCAGTCAGTTTATATATATACTATAATCTTTAATGAGGATGCCAACGTCACAAAAGTGGTTTACAGGAGGGTCCTCTTAAGTTAAATACTAATACAAAGATAAATTACAAATAGCAACAAATAACTAAAGCTAAATCTAAAAACTAATTAAAAATACTAATGAAAAAGTAATTAACTAAAAGTAATACTAGCAAAGTCAATTAAAATTCAAAATTAAATTTAGACAGGCCACGTTTGAAGGCAGGCAGTGAGTTTGCATTCCTTGGTGAGATGTCTAAACCATTCCATATATCTGCGCTTAAGTTAACTGACGACCAATGACTCCATCTTCTTGTGGCACTGGATTTTCGAACGTCATTTCTCGATCTTGTGTTGTAACCATGAAAGTCACGATTAAATGTGACAGGAATAGTATTACATGAATGGTTGTTAATTAATTTATACATAAAGATGGCATGGTGTTCCTTTCTACGACGACGCAGTAATGGTTTCCAGCCAATCTCTTTAGGGCCTCAGTTGCGGAAAAATAAATAGGTAAGTCTACAATGAGGCGAGCGGCCTTATTCTGCAACACTTGCAGCTCAGACATTGAGGACGCATTTCCGCGATCTCCCCAAATGATATCCACATAGTCAAAAGTAGGTAAAATGAAACTATTGAAAAACATAATTCTAGCATTGAGAGGGAGGCAAGATTTAATACGCCTTAAAAGACCGAAATTTCTACTGACCTTACTACGAATATAATCAATGTGGTCAGTCCAGGAGAAGCGGTTATTAATCACAATGCCTAGGTAAGTAAAAGAATCTACGTTATCGAGAGGGGTATCATAAGCCGAAATGAGTAGGGACTCAACTTTATTCAAGCGGGAACTACTACCGATAAGCAAAAATTTGGATTTTTGAACATTCAGAGTCAGTTGGTTTGCCCGAAGCCACCCACATATAGGTTTTAAGTCAGCATTAATATTACTTTGTAAGTCTACAGTAGATTTGGAAGCGAGATATAAAACAGTGTCATCTGCATATAAAGACGGTAACCTGACAGAATTGCAAAACATCAGGTAGATCATTCATGTAAATTATAAATAAAAGCGGGCCCAATATAGAGCCTTGAGCAACGCCAATCGATACAGCGGCAGCTTTGGAACAAGCATAATCACAGCTAGTCATTTGTGTTCTGTATGTTAAGAATGAAGTAAACCAGGCTTTGCCAGCATCATCAACACCGTAAGTTGAGAGCTTCTGGAGCAGTATTGAATGATTGACAGTGTCAAACGCTTTGGCGAGGTCTAAAAAAACAGCACCGGTCAGGCAACCATTGTCCATGGAGTGAAGGATCTGATCAGAAAGCTGAGTGGCGGCAGTAATAGTAGATGACTTCAATCTAAATCCAAACTGGTTGGGTGAAATTAAATTATTCTCAGTAAGATATGCATAAAACTG